GGGGAGGAAGGTGTGGAGGGCAACCATGGATGCCAGGGACAATGGGGGAGGAAGATGGGACATAGCAGAGGGTGGGGGATGGGGAATCAGGGATGGCAAGACAAAGGGCAAGGTATGCAGGACGTAAGAATTGGAAAATTATTTGCTGAGAACATGTATGTGGATGTGCTTGATTGAGCCAATGCACAGTGTATTTTGGATGGAAAATTCATTTGTGTGTTGTGATGGTGTAAAGTGAATTAATAAAAACAAAAAAACAAAAAAACAAAAAAACCTGCAGTTGGTAGGCATATAACCTTGGTGTAAATAAGAGAAGACCCACAAAAATTATTACAGAAGATTGAAGGTTCTGATTACCTAAAAAAAGAACTTAAAAATCTGCACTGCAGAAAAGTTCTAAAATCATTTTTTTAAAGGAATGATTATATTTAATTTTATTTATTTATTTAAATTTGACCAGAGAGGGATAGAGTGAGACAGAGGGAAAGTGAGAAAGCAAACCGCCAAGTCTGAGACTCGAACCACATTTGACCATGTGGGAGTCTAGCACCCTAACCACCACACCACCTGCCAGCCCCTCTAAAATCACTTTAAAAGACTAACAATCTTGGGGCCAGTATCTGAGCAGGTCATTTATGGAGCAGAAACCCACCAGCCAGTGCCAGCATCACCAGGTTCAGGGAAGCCCAGACTGTAACAACCATGAGAAGGTACTTTTCTCCTGTTAGACGGCAAATAATGGCAGATTTGAAATACGGGGTTTCAAATGTTGGTGGGTATGAGCTGTTCTAATTTGGGGAGAACAAATCGGTACAGCTATTTTGAACTTCTGGGCATATTTATTAAAGTAAAGAACACAGGTACCAGCAGTTGGCATAATGGCTATGTTGATGGACTCTCATGCAGTAAACCGCGGTTCAAGTCCCGGACCCAGTGACTTAAACTCAAGCCGGGCGCGTGTGCGTGCGTGCCCAAGATCCCAAGAGGAGAATGGAGGAGAAGGAATTGCGGCGTGGCCATCCCCCCAGGGGGTGATTTCTCACTTTCTGTCTCTCTGTCTCTCTCTGTTTTTCTGACGAGCGCACGTGCCCTATAGCAAAAACCTCTCCAAAAAAATAAGAAAGAAAGAAAGGAAGGAAGAAAGAAAGCACATATGTGTTTTGTACCTTATTCAGCAATTCTACTTCTTGGGGCCCACTCTAGAGAAACAAGGCACGCCGGAGCCCCGGGAAGGTGTCCGCTGCAGTGTTGTTTACTGTCACGGCCCCGCGGGGACGCATGACTAAGAGCCGATGGGGGAGGGTCTCTGCTTGTGTTCACATCGTTAGACTCTTTTGCAGTGCGTTCTGATATTGCCTAAGAAAATTAACTGCAAAGTGAGAAGAGTAGATTGCCGAACGAACTCAGTTTTACAATAAGGTTTACATACGTGCTTAGAGATGCTACACGCTGGTGAGCAAGCCTGGACGAGGAGGCCCTGGAGCACTGCTGGCTCAAGTAGGATCAGGGGACTCACAAGTGCATTTTTGGTTTTGCTTCTAGTTTTCTAACTTTTTTTCAGAAATGAGAATTGTTTCTGTAATCTGTATTTTTTAAAAAATTTAATTAATTTATTCATTTAAAGTTGACCGGGGGTGGGGGTGGGGGGGGTGAGAAAGTAAGCCACCAAGTCTGGGACTTGAATCATGGTCAGCCAAGTGGGAGTCCAGCACCCTTAACCATCATGCTGCCTGCTGGTCCCTGTAATCTGTGTTTCCGAAGGCACCATTTCCCAGCACTTGCCCCAGTGACTTCAGTTGTTGCAGAGAGCCTGAGCCTGTTGCATTGAGCCTGAGCCTGTTCTGGTCCTGGCGTTGCCCACGAGGAAAGGCAGGGCTGTGCGTGAGAGAAGGCACTCACAGGGTCCTGCAGAGTGTCCATCCCCGCTTCCCTACCTGGAGGGCACCCCTCATTCCTTCACTCTGGGGCCTGGGAGCCGGATGCAGACTGTGTGTCGGTGGGTGACAGGAACCCCTCTTTAGGTTCTGCCAACATCCATTTGCTAAAACTTTCCACCTGATTCTTAGAGTGCTTTGGTTTGTTTGTTTTCTGTTTTGCACATACTTGACAGAGACAGACTTACAGACAGAGGAGGGAAAGTAAGGAATCACCCCCTGGGGAGAAGACCATGCCGCAATCCCGTCCCCTCTGTCCTCCTGACATTTTGGCTATGCATGCACGCACACACACGCAGCATGTTTTTCAAGCTGCCAGGTCTGAGATTTGAACAGCATAGTCAGCCATGTGAGAGCCAACTGCCTTAACCATCACGCTCCCTGCTGGCCCTTAGGGGTCTTTTAAATACAGCAAGCCCATGGAGGTAGGAGGTGGCACAGGGACGATGGAACTGAACCACATGAGAAAGGTCCTGGCTGCACATCCTAGGACCACCCTAAGCATGCTGGGTAGGTGCAGGTTCATGTTCCCATGAGCCAGACTGGCTGATATTTGGGGTGGATTGTGCATAGGGACCCTGCTAGGAATGCTCATCTCTGTCTGTCTCTGTCTTTCCTTCATGGAGGAAATAAAGGAATATGCTTAAAAATACATAGCAAAGGGGACCAGCAGTTGGCATAATGGCTATGTGACTGGAATCCCATGTAGTCGACTGCGGTTTGAGTCCTAGACCCGGTGGCTTAAACTCATGCTGGGTGTGTGTGCGTGTGTGCCCAAGATCCTGAGAGGAGAATGGAGGAGAAAGGAGTACGGTGTGGCTATCCACTTGGGGGGTGATTTCTCACTTTCTGTCTCTCTGTCTCTGTCTTTCTGGTGAGTGCACGTGCCCTATAGCAAAAACCTCTCCAAAAAACAAAATACATAGCAAAGCCGAAATGTATTGACCAGGCAGACCTTGCATTGTGCTAGAAGCTGGGAATGACCAGCCTGTTTCCTGGGTTTGGGCGAGTTACTTCAACGCCCCTGCTTCCCTTCACTACCCAAGGCACAGCCTCACCCCTGCTACCTCCTAGAATTGCAGTTG